CTATTAATCTATGATATGTATCTGTCTCTGTGTCGAAGCAGAATATTGTACCAACAATCATAATGATATGTAGAAGAATTGATTCGGTTGTCGTTTAATACTTACCCATCCTGCCTGTCCGCCTATTTTCATACCTACTTACCTCCTACCTACCTACCTATATGAAATAGTGTTCTTTATAAGTTTGTTATAGGACATAATAATATAACTTAAGAAGGGAAAAAGTTAAATCCAAGATATGATTGATGTATATGTGCAGTAAACTAAACGGTTCGACACTTTAATAACCATCCGAATTATTAAATCAGTCTACTACTTACATCCAGACTTGTACATTTATGTCATAGATTACCTTTGTCAAAAAAACTGTGTTTCATACAAAGCTGTCTAAAAGAAGGAAGAATCCTTTACAAACAATGCTATCAATAATGCAGTTGCCAACTCGTGGGTTTATTTGAATTCACCCCATAAAGAGTGTTGTTGTTGTAATTGTTGTTACAGTTGTTTGTTGTTTTTTTTTAAAGAGGGGGGTGTGTTTTGGTTTTTGGCTTTTTTAACAAAATATTCACTTACGAAAGCAAAGAATCACTACATACGTTTTATAATTTTTTTCAAAACAATTTATTTAGAAAACTAGAATGGTTGACCATGAAATAAGTTCCCACGTGGTTTGGCTTAAGTTAGTGTTTCTTTTGTAGTACATTATAAGATACGACCCCATCCCCTTTTTTGTTAATATATGTGAACTGTTTAATGATGTAGGGGACAATATGTCTGACAACAGACCAAAGGTTATGTTGTGGCATATTTCAAACGGTCATAAACTATTCAGAAACATTAAGTTGCATGTTTCATGAAATGCAAGTTGTTGTATGTCTTTTGAAGTTTCAGATAAAGAAGTCAGAATTGAAAATTCGGTATGAATAAGGAAGTTATGCTTCTTTTTCTAATGTCCCGAAACTGCGAATCTTCAAGCATCTTTGAATGACTTGAATGTGCGTTTCCAGTGTGTTAATATACATTTAGTTATTTTGTTCAGTGCATGATTGTTGCTCTAGTATTGAGGGCCCATAAAGTAGTTATGTTGTTTAATTTTTTTTTGACAATTAGATGGGGATATATTTTCTTTTCTAGATTTAGAAAATAGTTCATTTAAGCGATTGCCTTCTTTTAGGTTAGTGACATTTCTTTCGAGTTCACATCACCCAGCCCTTGTCCAAGCCAAACATTGCATTTCTATTTTCGATTTCTTCGCCTTTTGTGTGACTGGGTTTTTAAGGAGGGGCTACAGCTGAAGGCTATCTCGTTTATTAGCAGATCACATTTTACCAAATTTCACACATGTAACAAACATAGTAAGGAGTTTTAAAATCTGCAATCAAATTTGAGAAAAAAAAAGTTTCGTTTCCATTGATACAGCAGCCGTATTGGATTTTGTTGACATGTCTTACGCGCTTATTTTTCATGGAAATAAATTATTTTTTGCATGCATCTTAACAAACAATAATTCTACAAACCTATGTGATGATTTTTTCCTAAACGTACTAGAAATTTTTAATGAATTTTTTCCGGAGGTAGTATTCACGTTTGCAAAAAATCCGTGAAAATCCATACTACAAACACCACCAACAAAATAACTATTCCATAAATTCATCACACAGATCTTAAGTATTACATCTTTTCTCCATTCTGTGAAAATTTTATGAAGATTGGATGAAAAATGGTGGAGTTATTTTTAAAAGTATATAGAAAAACCACATTTCGAGAAAACGGGTGATAAAGAAAAATACAATATTGACTTTAGAGGAAATGGTGGTGCCAAACATGCGCGCTACACGAAGAAATAAGGCTTTTTGGGGTTCTTACGAGATGAAATAGTTGTAAGAGAGGCTGAAGATGCTAAAAATGCCCACAACTTAAAATCTATAGTTTTGAGCCGAATCTGGACTTTTGACGTGTAGCCCCTCTCTGTTTTTTTCTATAACTCTCTCCCCACCTCTATCCTTTCCCCACCCTATCTCCCCCCCCCCCCTTTTTTTTTTATAATAGTGCTACGCACGTGCGGCTTGCTCATACTCTGACGTAAGTGGTTACGCCATTGCGGTTTTTTTAAAATAATGCGCCAATGGCAACTATCTTGTTTAACCGATCCTGAGCAAGAAATTCCATAGCTTGTGTTTGGAATAGCCTACAACAAAGAATTTCCCAATACAAGTATGGTATGTTTGGCCCTGCGCTTTCAATGCCCTCAAAATAAAGGAATAAATGAATGAATAAATGATAACTAAATTATAAAAATGATTATAGCCCCCACAAAACAAACAAACAAATAAAAAGCATCAAAAAGACAACAAACAGAAAACACCTGAGAAAGAATCCCCCCCCCCCTCCTCTTTTTCTCCCAGTTTAAAATTTAAAAAAAGAAAGTTTTAAAAGGAATTTAAAATTAAAATCTTTTTTTAAAATTAAATAATAATAATAATTCTTAAATAAACAACAATTCAAAGACCCCTTTTTGTGTGTTTTTCCTTTTTCTCTGTTTCCTTTTTTTTTTCTTTGTCCCATCGATTCTGTGATGATCTTTGAAAAACAATAACCCTGTATCATATATTCTGCTGCTATCTTCACAAACATGTCATTCCATGTAGTATGCTCAATGTTGCTCTTTTTGTTTCAAACTATTAAAAGACGTCTGGTCGTGCTCTTTCTTCCACAAAAGTTATGTTTCCTAAAAATAATTGATATTCAGAGCCATAAGATAAAAACTAGATTTTTTAAAACTTTTACTTGAAAAGTTGTCCACCTTTAGAAATTTTGATAAAAGAATTCATAGACTTATTCATATTCAAGAGTGTGATAAATAGGTTTGCCGTGAATGTATAAGCAACAATAAAAAAAATATCTTTAAAATTACAACCAAAAAAACCCTAAAACTAAAATAAATAAAATAAAACCAAAAAAAAAGGTTTCACATATGTGTTATATAAAGAGCATTCTCTCTCAAGTAAAAGGTAGAATCCCACAAAATTTGGTTACCTTTCAGTAGATTGGTGTCTGTGTCTTTTACCATAAGTCAATCTTATAATATGGGCTTTAAGAGTGAGCATCAGCCAACAAAATTCACAGTCTTCGACGCATTGAGTTCAAGTAGTCCTGAGCTGATTTATAACTAGCTCAAACTATTTAACTGATTTAAGTGTCTATGACGCTGCCGACGCGAATAGCGATCCAGATTAGAATTATTAGCTTGGTAATACCAATGATTCTCAACTTGTAAAGAATCTTTGGTAACACTTGCCACGTTTCATGAAATCAGGTCTAATTCGATCCATTTTCCAGGAGGAAAAAAATATTACGTGACATGCGTGCTGGCTAAATTGCTTGGTTTTTTTCTTTAACCTTCTGGGAATTATTTTTCAATGTGCGAGTCAGAAGTATATAATATTATATTGGCACTGTTAATATTAACAGTAGTGCAAGTCAATTGTCTGAAGCCATAGAGATGGAGCACCTCATTGAATCTTGCTACATCATAGCACCATATTGGTGTACTCTCTGCTCGTAAGGATCTTGCTTGGTTCGTGATTTACTCGGAAAAAATTCTTGACTAATTAATATAATAATTTGTTGACATTTTACCAAAGATGTAGATCTCTATACACAACATTGCAATACACTCTGGTGGTTCTAACATCGTCTGGAGTACCATGTTTACAATATGATACAGTACACTACTGACAGACAAAAGTCTTGTGTTTAAAAGTGTTTTGCTTTGTATCTTACCTGCTGGTTGTTCTTGAGAAAACCTCCTTTCAATTCTGTAAAAGTACCTATACCTTGTCTTGAGTTAATTTTTGTTCAATAATATTGGAACGATGACCGTGATTTTTCGTGTACAAAACTTTTTTTTCTCGTCTTCTTCTTCTTCCTCCTGTATCTTTTCCATTATGTCTCTGTGTACGTGTTTGAACACTTGTAACTCCGATTGTTGTAAATGTACTTGTAATTCACTCGTTTTTGAGGCATATCCATGTTTCAAAGTTTACTGTAAGTAAAAAAAAATAATAATAATATGTATGCTTCCGACATAACGAGAGAAAAGTTTTGAGATCACCCAACTTACTCTTCCGATACTTTTTGTACTTTTTTTTGCAACACTAAGCTTTATTGGTGCAGTGATATGACTGCAAACTTTTGGAGCTTTTGGGAGAAAGGGTTAGGGTGGGTTAGAGATGTTGCTGTTATTTGTATCGGTTGTATTAGTTTGGGGGTTAGGTGTGTGTAGGGGTCTTCTCTTTATCTTTCTGTAATATCCATTCAACTACCGATATTTTAGCTATTCATTGTTTGTTTTATTTTTTCTTACCTTACATGTTTATCTATTTATTTATTTATGTATTTATGTATTTATTTATTTATTAATTTATTAATTTATTAATTAATTAATTAATTAATTTATTTATTTATTTATTTATTTATAATAGGGGGAAGTGCTCTAACCCTGTCGCGTACTTTGCATTCCGATCAACCTTGACTACATTGAATGTATCATTATTCTTTTTTGACAACTTTGTTTTCATGTGTGGAGGCTACTTAGGGAAGTTCCCTTTTCGTGTCGTGAAATTATAATATCAATGTGCCAGTACCGTGCTGTGAACGTAACCCCCTTGGAGTAGACCTGCACGTGTACTTATCCTTACTCTGTGGCTCAGGCCCACTTAAGTGTTGTCTCATCAATTGGCTGTGCAATTTGAAAACTATTCAATGATCAATAAATTGTTACCATTCAGCAAATTTTCGATTTGGACTTGTGAGTAAAAATTTTACGGATTCTGTTTCGCTTTTTTTTTAACCTCGTGGAAAGTACTCAGGTGTGGTTTGACTCTACTTTCTTATCATAATACGTATTTATCATTCTTATATTTGCTTTCATGTACTTTCATGTACTCTCTAGTGACACCTCTAATCTTCGACACTTATATGATCTAATTGTTTTGCTAGTGCCCTAAAATTTGCACCCTTAAAACTAAGGTTTTTTTTCTCAGCCTTTGATTCTAGTCCGACTTATTTACCATGTACCTTATGTTTCCCCTTATTTTATCGTGTAATGTTTTTCTTTTACGCCCTCATCGACACACTTTAGATCATTTAGGAGGTGGACTCCTTCAACTCTGCCTGTCATGACCTACCCAGGCTGCGGGGGTTGCAACGCCTTAGTAGAAAGACAGAGATACTGATAAGGTTCTTCTCTCAAGGAATTTGCACCAACGTATTCTGCGTACGACAGCAAAACGCATAACCACAACACCAGAGACGCCGGTTAAAAAAAGACTTTTGGCAACTTGTCTTGACCTAGAAAGAATGCTTTCACCAGCCTGTTGGATTGGCACAATACAAACCTGTGAGGACTGGTCCCTAGGCTCAGTAGGAATATAGGCCTGCATGTAATCAGACCTGCAAAAAAAATTAGGATATTAGATACTGATACTAGACGAGGGAGTCGAACTCAGGCTTCTTGTGTGTGGCAAAAAGGGAAATAGCATTATATAATACTAAGAAGCAAAAGAAACGTGAATAATTAAAGCATGATCAAAATACACCACACTCAACAGGGGTTTGTAATGTGTAAATGAAATTTTAATTCGTACAATTTACACAGCCATGAGAATTGTTTAAGGGTGGTAGCGTCACTATGCCATTACTGTGACCTTGACCTTGGGATAAAAAGTCATTACATTTAGTGACCTCCGTTGGCTCGACCTATACAGTTCACAAGAGCATTTATTAGTCGACCTGGGATCTGTAGCCACAACTGACCAATGGTTGCAGACAATTGAGAAGCTGTCTGTGGTCGTGATTGCTGCAGGTTGAGCTGCCTCTGGGGTTTAAGTCAGGGGAACGAGTCGGATGAGGCAAAAGGTTGATGTTGATCTGCCCTTGGAACTATTGTATTAGACGGGCAGTATGAGGTCTCGCGTTGACTTGCTCGGAAAATAAATGTAGTTGCCTCCGGAAAATGAACTGAAGAATATAGTCAGTGTACCGCTGAGTTACCCTATTTCCTAGTCAATGACCAATTTTCTGGAAGAACAGTGGTCCAATTCTTTACTTTGGGGAGATGACTCAAAAATAAAAAATGACGCTTGCCCCTCCCCAAAGGTCTGTCTCCACGACATTATCGATGTTGCACAACAGATCTGTGCGCCACCCATAAATAAGCCCATTTGCTGGACCAACACAGAATTTGCTCTCGTTCGTGAACAGCACCTTTCCCAATTGTCTGTTCCTCCTGTTCGTGTGAGCCCGAGAGCCTGTGAGCACAGCAGCCGGCCAGGGCGATGCTAAGAGGTCAGTCTGCACCCGAGGCCTGTTGATTAAGCTTACAATCTCCACCGAATGCTTCTGGTGTTCAGGATCCGTCCCGCTCGTTCGATGGTGTTCCTGTCGGTCTCAAAGGCTGCCAGGAATTGATCCATCCGGCACTGGCTCACCATGAGGCGATCCTGAGCTAGAGTTGTCGTCTTTGGTCTCCGGCTAGTGGGAGATCATTGGTCGTGTTGGCGTCTCAAAACCGATTTTATTGTCTGCAAATGGTGGCGTCGTTCATACCTGTAACAGTTGCCACATGTTAAGCAGACTCCCCAGCCTGTAGTAGTCCAGTAACCATCTCACGGTTTTATTATGAAAGTCTCAGCATCTTTAATACTGCTTTCGTTTTCAACTTAATTCCATATTTCGAGGCTTCAAATCTATAAGCCAGGCCTACATGACCTTTCAATTCCAAATGATTTTCGATTTTACAAAAGTAGTCACTACAGTTTCAAGTAGTTGATGGACTTTCAACGGTACTTGAATTTATTAGTTTCCACTAGGTTTTCTCCGTACAGAATGGTGGGAACACTTTCTTGGGGAAAAAATTGCTGTAGGCCTACATGTAGTTCTATTTTTGGGTAAAAAAAGGTGTTACAAGGCTAAGCCTTTCAGCAGATTGTTACTTAATCGATTTACATTTCATGCTCTGTGGTGTTTAATTACCAAAAAGCATCTACAATTTTATCCTATCAAACATCTATCGTACTTATCTACCCTTCTTCTTTTTTATGTTTGTTACTCTCTTATAACACCTCTAATCTTCTGGCGTTCATATGGCCTTAGGCAGTTGCGAGCGCCGTAAAACCTCTACTAAAAATTTTAAAACAGTCATTCACAATTCCCAAAAGTGCTAGTGATAGTATACAGCCTTGTTTAATTCCAGTATTTATTTCAAAAACGGGTGTAAACAGTTCTCCTTCAACTAGGACACAGCAATTAATTGATTGTGTGTTCATTTATTTTATACAATTTAGTGTTTTTGCAGGGGTGCCATTAATTGCAACAATTCAAATCTGCTGTGAAAAGCCTTTTTAAAGTCTACAAAGTGCCAAATAATTGGGACATTACAATCATTGCGTTGTTCTACAATGCTTCTCATAGCAAGCATTAACACAACATGGCAATGCTGGGACAAAAAAGGGAAAACATATTTGGGGGAAAAAATCAAGACAAAAAGTCGAAAGCTGTAAATAAATTTAGAAACAGGAACAACAGCAGCTGGTGCTGATATAAAGCTTTATTTTTTTTTAAACCCACAATATAAAAAATTTTCATTAAATTGCCACCAAAACGAATTTTGAATGCCGGTGAAAGTAAAGGGAGGTAATTAGTAGAGTAAAGTAAAGTTCTTCCCGCATCCGATCCGGACATTGGGGGTTGTCTTGTAAGCGAGACAACTTCCTGAACCTTCGGCATATTGTGGCAGGATGGCCAGTTCCCTTCCACGCCGCCTTTACTCCCCCAACTCGAAATCAGGTACCCATTACTGCTGGGTGGGCAGGAGGAGGCGAAAAAATCCGTATCCGAAACGAGGCTCGAACCCGGCCTTTTCCGCCTCTGGGACGAGCGCACTATCTGCTCCGCTACCGCACCCTCAAGTAATAAGTATAATATTAAAAACATCTTATTTTTTTGGAGTCGCTGCTCTTGCCAAAAAAACAGCACTATGTTACTAAACTAAATAGGAGTTCATGCTTCATTGCTTTTTTTCTGAGACGAACTGCCGCCGTTTGGAACAAAATACGTTTTAAAATAGGTGCTCTCTAAGCAGCAACAGTACAAGAAGATAATTCAAACACACGCGAGGAAAACATGTTTTTATACGACATGGAATAACATTACGGCTGCTTGCGGTAACTCCAACCTATTTTTATATATTTGTTTATTTGTTTGTTTATTTGTTCATTAATTGATTGATTGATTGATTCATTCATTCATTTATTCATTCATTCATTCATTCATCCTTTCATTCCTTCATCCATTCCTTCATTAATTTATTAGATCAATTACTTATTCATGTATTGAAAGGAAAGAAAGAAAGAAAAATACAAACAGACAAACAAACAAACAAACAAACAAACAAACAAACAAACGAACAAACAAACAAACGAACAAACAAAGAAAAAAAAGAAAGAATTAATTCTTATAAAAAATTTAAAGGCCCGCTCGCAGCTTGTCGAAGCCATGAGCTGAATGTTAACAGTGTTGTTTCTTCTCAAGATAGTCAATACAGACACTCTCGGTGATATTAAAAAGAGTGACGATAAATACAATTTTAAGGCGTGATTCTATGTAAAGTGAACAACCATCATAATAATGTTGTGTGGAGGAGTTGATGCAGGGGTCTTTTAATATTTACTTTCCTGCCTACCTATTTACCTGCCAACCTCGTACCACGATACCACCTACCTACCTTCCTTCCTATCTCCACACCTACCCGTGCGCCCTTCTATTAATCTATGATATGTATCTGTCTCTGTGTCGAAGCAGAATATTGTACCAACAATCATAATGATATGTAGAAGAATTGATTCGGTTGTCGTTAAATACTTACCCATCCTGCCTGTCCGCCTATTTTCATACCTACTTACCTCCTACCTACCTACCTACCTACCTACTATCCTGTCTGCCTGCCTACCTACCTACATACCTGTCTACCTACCTACCTTCCATCCTACCTACCTACATATCTTCAAACGGTACATACCTACATTCCTACCCCTTAGCGACCCACTAACATAGCCTACCAATCTGTATAGTATTTAACCCTGCCTATAGATACATATCACAATAGTTCCTTATACATGTGTACATATCTTCTCTCTGGTTGAAAAAAAAAAGAAGATTCACTTTTTAAAAAACCTAGCCACACTTGGCTCATTAATGCTTCTTTTTTCAAGAACCTGCTATGCGAGTACTTGTATTCTTTTCACCCATTTGGCCGCATGCGTATTGCTGCATGAATTGTCTGTACCGTGTGTTAAAGTTGTAGTAGACAAAGATGTTCACGCAAGCGTTGAGAGAGGAGAAAGCAAACGTAGCGTTCACAACGGTTGAGAACATGTTGGGATATCGCTGGTAGCTGAAGAAATCTGGGAAGGCCCTCCTGGCGTATACGAACACCACAGATGGCATAAGGAGGACGATGCTCGCCACGGCGACCAGAAATACCATGGTGACCACTCTACTGTCCTTTCTGGACACCGTGTTCTTGTTTTTGGATGGAGATCCCCTTGCAGTTGACTGTTGTCTGAACCTAGCTGAGGCCCGGATCCGAATAGCCATGAAGATCGCACTAAGAGTGATTGAGGCCAACTCAACATTATAGAGAAATATCCTGTGGAAAGCATTGGTGAACTTTAAGACCTCTTCTCGGTCCTTTGCAAGCCACAACATCAGACGTGTTCTGTTTGTGGTGACGTCAAACTGCCAACGGATTCCATGACTGACATGAACTCGGACGTAAGATAGAATGGAGAGGCTAAAGATGGCAGTGCATATAACCGCTGATCTTTTGACCGTAAAGACTGATTTGAACTTCAGAGGCCAGGTGACACACAGGCAGCGCTCTAGCGAAACGAACGCGGTAAGGAGGAGGGATATGTCTAAAAACATCTCCCTTATCCATCCCGAAAGAAAGTACAGGCCAGTGGGGTCCAGAGTGGCAAAAGGGTCAACTTTCATTGGGACGACGGCCATGACGTGGAAGAGAGTGGTTGCAGAAAGGAGGAAATCGGAGATGGCCAGGAACAGAACGGCCATACTGACACAGTCTGTGAGTCCAATCTTGATGACGACGATTATGTTGATAATATTAAACAGGATGCCACAAAGAGACAGAAAAGGGAGGCAGATGAGCTTTAAAGCTATGTCTATGTACAACTGTACTTCATCGCTTATGAAAATTTCATCAGACTCTGTTAACTGGCTTTGTTCGCTATGAAGCACGGAAACAGAGCGGTTGAGCGACATGATAGTTCAATACCGAGTCTCTTTGTGCACAGGGTATTTTACTTTACAATGTTATCACTCTTTGAGATCAGATTTATTTGAAACTGGCAACTCACAAGAAGTTTAATTATGATCCAGGACTGCATTAAGCATTGTTAAAGCCCTATCATGGTACTATTTGGTAAACTGGGAAGTTTTTGGAGAGGTGGTGTTTAAATGCATATCATGCAAACCAATTCGAGTAAATTCAGAATTGCGGTGAATTTTATAATAGAGAATGTTTCCTGGGCTTTTTTTCAGAGTGGATTGTTAAAAACTTTTAGCATGCCAACTAATTCCAATTGCAAGCAGTTTTCTTTCACTAATTGACACTAATATTTTTGACAGTATAAAGTGAATGCTAAATGGTAGGTCTACGTTCATACTTTATAGGTCTATAATGAGATCATTCATGTGGTATTGACAAGATGACATTCACGATCAATCGAAGTACGATGAGCTACTTTTGTCACCTCCAAATACTCAAATCCGTAAGCATACAAATTTCAACAATTATGTTCTGGGTTTATTAGTGTTTCCTAAAAATGGATCCATAAATCACTCTGTGTATTGAAAATAATTGGTCTGTAATTTGTCTACCGGTGTTATAAAATCGACACTTAACTTTTTCTTTCTTAAAAAATTATTGCTCGATATATTCAGCCGACAGTAAAGTTGCAAATATAGAAAACCACAAACCTGCTGAAAATTGATTGAATTGATCCAAGCGAGGGAATTGTTTCTCCTTTCTATATTTTCAAGTAGTTAATGAGAATAATTAGCACATAAGGAGAGACTATAAACCAACGTGGACTGTAGTGCAGTCGGAAAATGGAGGGGTAACGTCTCCTCAAAGATGAATAATTATACCTCTTTGACGGTTGAACCAATCTCGCCCACACTTTGCACAGCAGTTTGTATCAACTTGTCTCAACTTAATCGTACATTCCAATAACAATCGAGGCTTGATTTAAGAACGTTTCTTCCTGAATAGGCCTTTATAAAATAATATACTGCAAAGCCACGACTAAAATGGGGATGTTCACAGTAAGCCTACTTCCCATTTAAATGTATCATACTCACACACATTTAGCACACGCACAGCCAACGTCAATCTTCGCCAATGAAACATTTTGGTTGCAAAATTTGAGTATACAGATAAATGCCGTTCCCTGATCATTTAATGACGCGCTAAATTGTGAGGGATTTCTGGTCTTTCCTTTTAACTCAAGTGCTAAGGAGCAGGATGACGATGAAGAAGAATTGTAGACGGAAATTGTGGCAGGAGGCTGCATAGGTATAGGCCTAAATGGCGTCATCGTTTACCTAATCTTCGTCAATTTCTTGACACAAAGAACAGTTGTTTTTTCTGGTCGTTCATTGTGATGTCAGTGAGTACTATTTTTTCTCTGAGCGAGATTGCTGATTTATTTATTTCCCAGTAAAATGTCCCTTTCACTTGTCCTCCAAATGAGCTCTGTTGAATTCAGATCACAGTGGTGTATGGGGGAAGATGGCCATATAGCCATACAGCCTGTGGTATACACAAGGGGTGGTTTGTTCTGCTTTATCAAGGAACGCGGTTCAAACTTAAAAATTTCTAGGTTAAAAAAAGGAATGCAATTATAGACTTTCAGAAACCACAGCTCTGTTTTCTCTCCGCTGGATGGCGTCATGTCATTGCTGTGACCCCTGGATGTGTGCGTCTGTGAAAAGGGGGGAGGGGTGGGGGTGTACATGTGTGCGTGTGAGTGTGTGTGTGTGTGTGTGTGTGTGTGTGTCTGAGTGTGTGTGTGTGTGCGTGTGTGTTACTGTTTTCCTTAAGCCTTTCCTTGAACTCTATCCAATGCAGGCACTGCACGACTATGCTCAATGGGCAAGCCACGGCTGTTATCCAGAGGCGCCGACGGCTTTTACTTCTTTCACCTCCTAGGCTGCTCCTCCTTCTCATGTTGGTAAAAATATGTACATGTAGTTTCGCTCGGTTTAGACGGAGCATATCAGGAATGCAAATACACTGAAAATGTGTTCACGAGTGAGGGTGAAGTGAATTTGTTTGGGGGGGGGGGGGGGGGGGTGGTTGTTGTTGTTTTTTTCATAAAAGTGTTTTACGGCGCTCGCGACTGCATAAGATCATGAAAGATCATGAGCGCGAGGAACACATTAAACATTTTCAGTTGGTAGGAAATTTTGATTTTTGCCCTTGTGGCCTACTCTTATCGATTTTAGAGCACCAAGGGATCTTTAACGTGCGCATCTTGCACACGGAACTTCCGAGATTTTTTCTCCCTTGTCGGAGAAGGCTAGGTGTACATCTTTCCTACCAGAAGATCAGGGTTGTGGCTGAAAGACAGCAGTAAAAAGGAGCTAAGGAGTAACAGTAGAAAGGCTGTAGAAAGAGTCAGGAGCCCAGAAGAGGGGACAAAGGAGGTGAGAGGGTGGGGGCAGAATGTGGAGACGAAAGGAGACGAGAGAACATTGCTAGAGAGCAGGAAAGGAGGGGAAAGGAGACAAGTTTAGAGAAGAAATTTTTTCTGTCGCTACCCGGATTTGAACCCGGGACCTTTGAAAGAGAGGCAAATACTTTAACCTCCAGGCCACGTGAGCCCCCTGTGGGGAATTGTCGATTTATTCTTCGGTCTTACTAATTAATTCATACCACTTTTCTCTCAAATGGTGATGGCAAATAAAAATAAAAGGAAATTTACACTTATTGTGAAGAGTTCTTTTTTGTGAGTTTCAAAATGTATTTTTTCTTTTTTCTTTCTTTCTTTCTTTCTTTCTAATTTGTTGGTAAAGGTATAACCCTGTCGCGTGTATTGCATTCCGATCAATCTTGACTACATTGAATGTATCATTATTCTTTCTTGACAACTTTGTTTTCATGTGTGGAGGCTACATAGCCAAGTCCCTTTTCCTTTTCGTGTCGTGAAAATGTTGATATATCAATGTGCCAGTACCGTGCTGTGAACGTAACCCCCTTGGAGTAGACCTGCACGTGTACTTATCCTTACTCTGTGGCTCAGGCTCACTTTCGTGTAGTCTCTTTTGAAATTTGAAATCTGTGCAATTTGAAAACTAGATCTGTTTCAATTATCAATATAGTGTTATCATTCAGCACATTTTTGTTTTGGACTTGTGAATTAAAATGTTACATCTGTTCTGTTCCTGGGTTGCTTTTTTCTCTTCTGGGTATTTTGTTTCTTGTGTATTGTTTTACTGCACGTGGGAGGTACTCAGGTGTAGTTTGCCTCTACTTTCTTATCAAAATATATCTATAATTCTTATATCTGCTTTTATGCACTCTCTAGTAATAGTAGGACATTTAACTTTTTTACACTTACAGGTTGCTCAAAATAACAAAAACCTGTACAACTTTTTTTGTTTAATATTTTCCTACACACTAAAGTTTTGCTCATCAAATTTGTTCACAACATTTGGAGGTCAAAAGGAATTTGTCTGATCCTCATTTTAGATAAATCCACAAAATAGTTTTTCTCTTCACAGCCCGTAAAAAAAACAGGTAGCATGACCCACTAGTTCTCATTAGGCCTACCACTAAAAACCCCAACGATTGAGCCATATTGCATACCACAGTAATCTAACAGGCCAACAGAAGTTTGCAAGGAGTTTTTCTCAAGTTTTCTCTGCCTGTTGAAATCATGATTAGTAAAGAGCAGACAGCTTTTTGTTTTGAACATAATTTCCTCACCGCCAACTCATTTCTTGCACAAGGTACGGAATAAAGTTAAAACGCCCCTAATGCCTTCTTTGATGTCAAGGGTGAAAATGGTCCATCAGTTAGTACCTGTAGAGAATCAGAATTAAAAATCCCCATACAAAACGACCATTTCAGGTCAAACACACAACATCGTTCGCACCCCTTTAAACGTCACCAGGGTGCGGAATTCAGTAGATGGACCCCATGAGACGTCTGTCCGTAGACATGGTCTGCAGCAATGACTCTCACCGTCAACTATCCGCACTCTCAAGGTAGATCTTCATCTACGGCTGTACCATTTTCTGTTTTTCGAAGCTATCAGAGGATATCAATGCGTTCATGATTCCTCGTTCGTCTTGAAAAGTGTGAACATTTCCTCTACTATGACATTTGTAAGGCAGCATGGTGGAATCAGGCTCTCGTCAATTTTTGGGCATGTAGAGTTATTGGTGTCACCTTAAAGCTTGTTCACTTGTCTTCATTTGGGAAAGAAATATCCATTTATCTTGAATACAAGTCGAGATATTTGCGAAAGAAGTAGGTGGGGTCACCTGTTTTCAGAGGTAAAATTAGTGAGAAAATGGCCGCCAAAGATTAGTTATTTCCTTAGCTTAAGAGTCCGTGGTAACTGAAAATTTACATTTTTTGTGCCTTTAATCAACGTTTCTCAGAAAAATCCACACAGAAATGAGTTCTTTAATGGACATGAAAGACGTTGAGCCAAAAAACAAAAAAAATTTGATAAAGATTCACATACCTGCGGAAAAGGCCAAGTTTCTTCATTTTGATTATTTTGACGAGAGCTTTGAGTATCCATGGTTGACTGGATCCTTGTGTTTGGCCAATATTGAACATTCCGAACCACGCGTTAAAATGTGAAGAGTCCAAAAGAGGACATATAGACTATTGGTTCTCGGAATTCCAGAATATAAAAATTATTGTAGGGAAAAAAAAGAAATAAATTTGTTTAAAGGTTACAGGGATTGAAAGATTAGATTTCGAAAATTAAAGGAAAAGAAAAATCAAACCAATCATTTCATGACTTTCCCTACAAAATCTTTTAAATTGGTGCATTTTGCCTTTATAGAAGTTTATATTAAAGCCATTTCCGTTTTCAAAAATAAGTTTCTTCTTTGTGAATCTTATGTCAAACAAATTTCTTTTGAATGAATTGTATCTATTCCAAATTACAACATTCGAGTACAAATTTTGTGCGAGATATTTTGAAAATAAAAAATTGTACATTTGTTATTTTGGTGTT